TTACCTCCTCTGAGCTGGGAGAGGTGGGACAGGGGCCAGGAGCAGCAGTAGGGATGGTGGCCCAAAAGCCCTTTACTGTGGGCTGAGAGCAGTGGGAGCAATGGTGGCCGGGAAGCCCCTTCCTCTGGTCCAGGAGCAGTGGGATGGTGACTCAGAAGCCCCTACCTCTGGGCCAGGAGCCATGGGAGAGATGGTGGCCCGGAAGCCCCTTCCTCTGGGCCAGGAGCAGCAGGACAGGTGGCCCAAAAGCCCTTTCCTCTGGGCTGGGAGCAGCAGGAGGGATGGTGGCTGGGAAGCCCCTTCCTCTGGACCAGGAGCAGTGGGACAGCATCTCAGAAGGCCCTACCTCTGGGCCGGGAGCAGCGAGACCCAGTACCATGGTCTGGTGGTCCAGTGTCCTCTGCATTTTTGTAGTGTGGAACCAGATGGCTGTACAGAGGAGCAGGAGGGGGTCCAGTGGATTTTTGCCAGGGTGTGGGCTGATTCAGCATGTTCCATGGGACTTGGGACCTTGGTAGGGCATGTGCAGACCTGTCTGTCCTAGAAAATCATTTTAAAATTACTGTTGTCATCTCCTTAACTGCTTTCTCTTCTTTTTGTGTGGGAAATAATGTAGGTATATCTTTTCCCTGTATATCAGCAGTATAATTTTTTGTCACTTCTGGTAATTCTTTATAACTTTTTGCCACTTTCCTATTATAGGTGAATCAAGTTGAAGACAGTGGCAGTAATGAATGAAAGTCTCCCTGCAGAGTTCATTCTACTGGGCTTTGCTGACCGACCTTGGCTGGAGCTGCCTCTCTTCATCCTTCTCCTGATAACCTACCCCATGGCCATGATGGGAAACATCATCATCATCCTGGTGTCCAAGTTAGAGCCCCGTCTCCACAGCCCCATGTACTTCTTCCTCATCAACCTCTCCTTCCTGGATGTGAGTTACACCACAAGCACTGTCCCTCAGATGCTCTTTAACCTGGGGAGCTCCAAGAGGACCATCAGCTATCTGGGGTGTGCAGTTCAGCTTTATGTCTTTCATGTAATGGGGGCCACAGAGTGTCTGCTCTTGGGCATCATGTCCTTTGACCGCTATATGGCCATCTGCAGGCCTCTGCACTATACCCTCATCATGAATCAGCACCTCTGCCTCCTACTAGCATCTATCATGTGGCTGACTGGGGTGATATTAGTATTCTCAGAGGCCACACTTACACTACAGCTGCCATTGTGTGGTGTCAATAAACTGGATCACTTTTTTTGTGAGATTTCAGTTCTTATCAAGACCTCCTGTGGTGAGAAGGAGGCAAATGAGCTTGCAGTGTCTCTGATATCCACATTTTTATTAGCTTTTCCTCTGTGTTTAATTCTTTTTTCTTATGGTAGTATAGGACATACTGTACTTAAGATTAAGTCTTCTGGAGGGAGTAAAAAGGCCTTGGGGACATGTTCCTCCCATCTCATTGTAGTTTCATTATTTTATGGTCCGGCCATCATCCTGTATCTTCAGCCCCCCTCCTCCATCTCCAGGGACCAGCCCAAGTTCATGGCTCTCTTCTATGGAGTGATGACTCCTACCCTCAACCCCTTTATCTATACCCTGAGGAATAAGGATGTGAAGAGGGCATTAACCAAGCTGTTGAAAAGGGCTGGAAGTTCGAAGTTTTCACTTGGAACTTGATGTCAGCTGACATTGTCAATTAGAGCAGGTTTGTATGGGTTTCTTTAGTAACACATTTTTGCCTCAGAATTCAATGTTTTCTTGCATGTTATTACCAAATATGTCTGATTTTGATGTTTCTATAATCATGTCAGACATACACTATATTAAGATATATATTATATATATAATTACTGAATTATTGGCCTT